CTTACCTGTAACACAATCCATTAATAAGTGTTCCATATTATCATTGATGTTAATAGCAACCATGTTTTTGTCTTTACAGTGCTTACATAGATGAGTATGTTCATAATAAACATCTACCTATTATTATGGCATCTACGTAGAGATAAACTTCGCAAATTGTATATTGCATAATTACAGATCAATGTATACTTATGTCATAAAGGAGATACAGAGTTATGTAGAAATAGTACGGAAGCTTAGAAGATCTGCGTTAGAAACGATCGAAACCTAAACACCGCATATTCATTGCGTATTAAAATTGGACTTAAACACGATCAATCTCTCTTATAGGTCAAATCGTAACACAATATTAAGACTTGTCTAACATAAATAACTCCGTCAAAAATATCAATGAGAAGACTATCTGTCAGTGACTGGGTGACAAACTTGCAAAATTAGTTTAAATAGGAAATTGTTTAGATTACGAAAGTAATTGAGCGCACAAATGACACCTCGCGGCTCATTCGAAAACAATTAGGTACGCGTCGATGCGCTTCCTTAGATCGTTGAATGTAATCAATCATTAGCACTGAATATATAAATTCCTTTGCATTATAGTACAACTTATAGCAGTAACTGACAGTTTATCTACCATTTTTAACTGATTTCAAAAAAGGAGGAGGTTCTTAATTCGACTTTATGTTTGTTACGCGATAACTCCGGCATTTCGGAACCGATTTTGATAATTCATTTTTTTGTTCGAATGAGGGTACATCTCACCTTCCTGTAACCGATTTTAATAAAACATGGCATATAGATGTAATTCCACGAATTTTATTATAGTATTGAGATTATTGCTATCATCAGTTAGAGCTTTTATAGAATTTTATTAGCTTCTTTTAATTACTTTCCAGTAGCTGAAAATCGAGCATTTGTTTATTACCTTTGAATATTTTAATAGCAACCTTCAAGTTTCAATGGAAATGAACGTCGCTAACCTTGCGTTGTGTTCCATTTGTTCTAAAAAACACTGTTATTGTACGTACTAAACTTACTTACTTAAAACGTAGTTAACTAGTACAACATTTTCATGTAATTTTACTTTTAATTATAATGTTAAATAAGGACTATGTACATTTTTTTAGTTTCCAATCCAATTACAAATTTAAAAAGCAATCAATGGGTAGGTTGGTATCCTAGCATCAGATCGGCTTGATGGTAAAGTAAATCATTGTGATTTGTACATTTATATACTCGTGTACCTACCAATTACAATAGTAAAATGCAAGATGAGTGTGTTCCATGAGTCGAAATATCTCTTCAATCACAACAAGTATAATTATAGATATATAAAGTTATTTAATAATATTTGGAACACTGAAGCCTTATACGTACCCAGATAGATAATATTCCTTTAGACGCGGTGGCGGTGGTTGGTTCTTCCTATTCAGCGCGATACAGCGAGTTCCTAACATTATAAAAGGTACGACATGTACAATTGTTTAGACAATCGCACATTGTATTACTTATCAGGAACATTAATTGGAGGTAAATTGTATATGAGGATATGCAACGACTAAAGGTTTGTTGTAATTCTTGTGAAGAGTATCCACGTAACCATTCAAGTTAAAAATTTAAATATCACGTAAATTGCACCAAAAGCAGATAGGTACTGAAAAATGTAAATAATGTTGTAGTCGTTGTTAATTGTCATGTAATATTTATCTTTTTTAACGTTATTGATATAGATGATGTTAGGTTCAAAATCTAAAACAGCGATGATTAATTACAAATTGTCACGATGCATATGGGAATTCAATTCAGTAAACAGTATCTGTGTCAAAGGCATCTCCGTTTGGCAAAGAAAATTGCTTGTGCACATTTGAATTAATGAAGCTAACTACGTACAGTCGATGCCCTGACCCCTAGCTTACCTTTAGGTTCTGAGAACATTTTTGCAGAAAAGTGTAAGGAAATACCAGCGTTTTGATTGAAATTTGTATTTATGTAATATAATATTAAATATTAAAATTTGCTTAAAATATTTCTTAAAACGTTATTCACTAAAGATACAATAAAGAAGTCATACCAAAATTAATGTTTGGGCTCACATGTTAAAAAAGGTAGCTTAGAACCAAATAGACGGTTAGTGGGTCGGGTATCTTAGGGCATCGACTGTACTTACATAGATAATATTAATTGTAGACTTCGTTTTATATCACATAGTTTTTACGTATTTGGACGATGTAAGAACCTTTAAACAAATTTCATGTATTTACTTTATAAGTGTTCACATAGATACTTGTAAGTACAATACCAAAGAATGCCCGCAAGTTTGTAACATATTTAAGCTATGTGCGTTGTATGTTCATAATTAAATAGCAATTACTAGAATTCAATACAAAGTAATAACCATGAGAATGTGTTTACAATGAACACACTTGTAAATATACGTATTCAAGTAATTTCTAGCTACATCGCTGTTTACTGACACTTTCCGGGAACTTATGGAGTATTGAACTCTACTCATGGTGCAAATACATGGTAATTGTATATAATAAATATAGCATACAATAAATAAATACATTTAAGTGTGGCTCTATATCGTTACTTAGATATAGTCTCGTTTCATAGGTGGGTGATAATTACACGTTGGTGATAGCCATTTCATGATGAAAACAAATCTATGTACCTAACTACATTTTCCTAATTGTAATTGATTAAGAATAACATCCAATTAATATTCTAGTCTATTCATGGACAAGGGGTAATGTTTTTTCAACAATAACAGGTGTAATGGCAAAAAGGGATCATTTCAATAATTGAGTATCTAACACGTCAGTTTCCCAGATGCTGGTGAGATATTTGACGTTAAATAAGCCACTTAATCTATATTAATTTATTAGATGTGGCAAAAAAATAATTATTGTAACTTATAGTCGAGCTCAGCCAACGACACGAGTATCTTACTAGGAAAGGTACTTTCTATTGAAACGTCTTGGAATAAGGTGGGCTGGCGGCGGCGGCGGGTGGAGCAGCGCGGGCGCAGGTATGCGCGTGTTCTCGGAACGCGCGCGGACGTTTTTGCTCCTTTTTCGATTCGACTTTACCGAGAATTGAATGGCCCGGTGGCGGCCCTACTTGGAACTCATAATTAATCCTTGGAAGCCTCCGACCCAAGGGTTGTTGGAAGAATCGCCAACATTATGATTTTTTATTTATATTTTGCATTGTCTCATTTTGAAAATTGTATAGGGGTTATTGTTCCCAGAAGGACTGACATTGTCATGCAAACCATACATGGTATTATGCACGGCGATTAAATTTTATGCTGCGTCGCCTTTGACCCACAGTTCTTTGTCTTTACGATGTGCTTCCAGGAATCAGTAACTACTCTGCTGCCAGTGAAGTTACTATAGAGAATAATTAGTCTTGGGCCCCTATTAAAATTAAAACTCTACTTTGAACAGATACTTTCACTTTTATAACGAGATGATCTTTACAATACAAATATAAAGTTGTACGTTCGTGACTTCATTTGTTTAACTGATTAGGTAGCCCAAGTTCCTGTAACTTTTACAGTTCAAACACATTGCGCTATAGTTAGTAGCAATAATTCTAGAGCTCCATTAAGGGCATGAGAGAGTTTATAAAACATTGCAAAAGTTAATGACACAATACGAATTTAGGAAAATGGTTTCTAGGAAGTTAAACAATCGACAGCTAAGCGAAATAGACACTGTTATTCCAATTGGATACGTGTCCGGCCTCGACACGCCTCAGGCTAGCGTTATTACAACAGTGACAGATGTGGTACTACAAGCGCAGAGAGTGACCTGGCAATATCCTCTTCGTTGGGCTAGGCCAGAAAACAAAATGAAGCAATATCATGCCTGCTTTCCCAGAAAAGCCAACTAGTTTAAATTTCAATGGCGGACTACTGCGAACCTAGACCATTTCATTTAACGAACTGATTGAAATACTGCTTTGATCCAAACGTAGCCACAGTAAATCTGCCCTTAAAGTCTGGGTAAGAAGAATTACTTTACAATCAGTGTTCAATATTCTACGTCCCTTGTTTTGAATCGAGGTTTGCGACATTAACTTTAAAATGACGAAGGATTTTTAAAAAGGAAATGTAACATTTAATATATTATGTGTACATATTTTTGGATCCCAGAGACCTTTGTTGCTTAAATCATTATGAGAGCAGATTACGTCAAATATTTCTTATAATCCGTCTGACCTGTATAGGTTACACAAAGTTAGTAG